AAATAAAATAAAATAAAATAAAATAAAATAAAATAAAATAAAATAAAATAGAATAAAATGCAGTTTCTTTCTATTGCCATTACAAAGACCCAGTCTGAGAGCCACTAATATGAAAACATCTTTCACATCCTCTCTGGTAATTATGAACAAATATAAGGCCTCAAACTCAAAGTCCAGCTGAATCTCAGAAATAATTGGACATTTCACTTTAAACACTAGCCAAAAGAGACATAAATCTGCTATATTTGCTACCAAATTGGCACTTAAGGCTTGCAATTGTTAACACCTCAAAACTGTGGGTGGTTAGTGAACTGTTTCACTTTGGTTTGGGCGAGGGTTAACTTTTGCCAGATACTTCCTTGTTAATGTTTGAGTTTTGTTGACTCATCTTATTATTAACTGGAATTTTGGCTTTTGCTATGATGTGTTGTTGTTTTTCCCTTTAATGTCTACTAAAGTCCCAAAAAGAGCCAAAACAATACATCTTTTTTAACGAGGTCCTATTGTCTTCTGTTTTTAAAAGTCTGCCTGTAGGCTGATGGAGGCCAGTGAGCCCAACCCTGCAGTGAGTCTTACTAGGAGCCCGCAGGCTGTTTCAGCTGCTGTGGGCTTTCCTTTCTGCCACCAGATATTATTCCCTCCCTGAAACCAATTTTAAGGAGCATTGTGAAACCAAGATCAACTCCCTTACCTAACTAGCTGTTTCTCTCTAGAGGCCAAAAAATGTGGTGTAGGGGTGGGTGAAGAAATGAAAATAAGTTTTAATGAGATAGAGACTGATTAATTCTCAAGAAAGAAAAAAAAGATTCTCTCATAGTTAAAGAGTTGTTTGGGCACAGAACAGGAGAAGAAAGGCAAATACTGAATATCCTCCTTTAAAAAATAAGAGAAGGTGGCAGCTTTTTGGTTGGAGGCTTTCAGGAAGTTCCTTCAGCAAAGAAAGGGAGTCTTGACCCCTTGTAGAGACTTCTCCCCTTTCCAAATCCTCGTTCTCAATACCAAGGTCTCAGATGCGCTTCCCACTCTCCATACAACTGGTTCTGCTCCCAACGTGGATTCCAGGAAATGTTCAGATCACTGTTGGTGACAGGACAGAAACACCTTCCCCAAGCAGGCATCACCAGTACCCATGATCCCAGATCAATCTCCGTCTGACATGTTTAGAAGGAAGAACAAGACACTACATCTTCCTCTAGGAAAAAACTTGAAGCCCCTTGACAGGGTGGACACTTACATTCCAGCTTATCCTGAGGTCTCCCCGTCTCTAGCAGGGACAGGTAACACACGACATCCTTCAGGTACACTATAGGGGATTCTGAGCCTGGAGATGGAACAACAGGATTTCCCAGGAGGGTTGCAGCCACTTGGTCTTTTGCTGGCACCTGCTTCTCGGTGATCTTTGATTCTGCAATAGGCAAAAGGAAACCATCCAACGGCACTTAACGTTTAGTAAATATTAAACCTTGTTTGTTGCTCCATCATTTTCTTGGTAGAGAAAGTGTTGGTTACTTAAATATGATCAAATCAGTGGTCCTAGAAATCCAGTTTGTAGCATTCATACTCTCTGAATGGAGCCCATTCTGACACTTTTAAGAATCTCTATCATTGTAAGAAATTCACCTATACCCTGTGAATTTTCAGAAAAGATGAGAATGATTTTTAGTAATATCAATACCCAACAGGTAAATGTCATTTTGCCTAATTTTTTGGAAACACTTACTCAATTTATAAAGTTACTTTTGGCTGGGATTCCAAAATCCAGACAATTGGTCATGTCCCAGTACACCTTTTTATAATTTTCTTCTCAAATACATTCAAAGATAAAGAAAAAGATGAACATTCAAAAGAGAAAACTGAGATCAACAATCGACAAATTTCCAGGCACTCGGAAGAATTCTGACTAGCCGCAAACCTAATCTATTGGATTAAGAAAATGCAGAAAGTGGTTTATCATACCACAGGAATACGGTAAGTTATCCCTCTGGAGTTTTCCTTCTTTTAGGTTGGAAAACTCTGTCTTTCTTGTCTTCTAATCCAGAAATATGAGGTTATTGCTAATGAGAAAACTGGGCACCTATATTTTACTGTGTGAATTATACTTTTCTCGAGGCACTTTAAGGGATATCTCTCTTCCCCCCAGCCTCTCTAGATCCATGCCCATAAGAAATGATCTCTTAATAATTTCCAGAACAAGGGTAAATTTGCAGAAAACACAGGTAAAAGTAAGAGGAAGACTGGTAGTGAAAAATCCACTTAGGTGTTGTGCCACTAAGTGGTGGAGGTCTGAAGATATAGACAGAGGGAGAGACAGCCCTGATGTAATGGCTGCTTCCAGTGATGAAAGGCAGTGCAACCAGTATACTTTTTATTCAGAAAGCCAAAGTGCCAAGCAAAGGCAAACAGTTCCTATCCTATCTGTCCAGTAGAGCTGTGCAACATGAAAGCCTACCTTATGAAACAGAGCTATAAAACAAGGACAGGAAGCTCCATCCTGAAGCCTCAGAAAACCAGATCTTCGGAAATAATATCCTACTGGAGAAGACCCTCAGGAGGTTGAGAGAAGATATGTTAAATTGGAGCAGAGAGCCTCAGGGGTGAGCAAGTTGGGATAAAAATACAATAGGGTGAAATAAAAATAAGGATAGTAAGATGGGGGAAACTGCAATAAAATTACATATGCAACACAAGTATTAAAATCAGCACTGGAGGAAAAGTTATGAAAAAACATAATCTATAAGACAACTGTGAGAAATCCTTTGCACTAGGTAGCCCATTATACCTCAAGTTACTGTTACATCCTCAGATTATCCATCCATGAAAACACTATTATAATGACTTCTGTTTTGACTAAATTGGAGTAACATGACCAGATTTATCCTTCTACTGAAACAAAAAACTGGACAAAAGATATGAAACAATGGACACTGAATGTGGTAGCACCAAATGGTGATCCCAAGAGATAGAATACAAATGAGATGATCCCCATAATTGCCACATCATACTGTTCAGAAAGAGTTTCTAGGCTGTAGCACTGGTAGGTGGAACCCAGGAAGATTCTGGAAGTCTCTCTGAGCTGAAAAGATAGAGCTTGAAGCCTGGGGAGCCCAAGGTGGCTAGGGTTCACAGAGCAGAGCACCAAAGAGGAGGAAGCTGCACAGAGAGAACTCCAGAGGTCTACAAAGGGTACTCTGTGAATAATCAGTGGAGAGTTCCGTTCCATTATTCAGCTGAGTAACAATGAATACAGATGTGCGAGGAGACTACTGGAGGCTGGGGAAAGAATCAGTATTAGAGGGAACAGTCCCTGGAATGCACAGAGAGCCAGGAATAGTGTCTATTCTCACCAACTAAGGTAGAAACCCCCATAACTCATGAATCATTGAGTACAGTACTCACAAGAGTTTTGTTTTGATTGTTGGGTAAAATTAGCAAACGCCTTTCTGGTCCTGGCTAACAAACCTTTAAAAGCTTGACCTGAAAAAGGTCAAACTATTTCCAAGTAGCCTAACTGTGCCCCAAAACAAAGCTCAAGAATTTTTATAGGAATATCAAAATATCCAATACCCAATGATGTAACATTTTCAATGGCTGGCATTTAATAAAAAACTGACAGGTATACAAAGAAGAAAGGAAATATAAACAATAATAATGAGAAAAAGCAATTGAAATGACCCAGAAATGACACAGATGATATAACAGACAAAAGCTTTAAAATAATTATTACAACTGTATTCCATATGTCCAAGAGGCTAGAGGAAAGATAGTACACTTTAAGTAGGAATATAAAAGATATTTAAAAATGCCTGTCTATATCAAGTGTCTAGATATGATGCGTGAAATGAAAAAAAAATGCACTGAATAGGACTTAGAGTGGATTAGACATTGCAGAAGAAAAGATTAGTCAATTTGAAGCACAGCAAAAGAAACCATCCAAAAAGACTAAAAAAAGAAAGAAAAAGAGCATCATATTGTGAGCTGTGGGACAACTTCAAGTAGTCAAATAAACATCTGGTTGGAAGACCGAAAGAGGAAAGAAAGAAGTAGGAAAAAATTGAAGAAATAATGGCTGAAATTTTTCCAAATGTGTCGATATTTGATAAAAGCAATAGAACCTCAGATCCAAGATTCTCAATGAACCCCAAACACAATAAATATAAATAAAACTACATCAAGGTGGGGTGCCTAGGTGGCCCAGTTGGTTAAATGTCCGACTCTTGAACTTAGCTTAGGTCTTGATCTCATGGTCGTCAGTTCAAGCCCTGTGTTGAGCTCTGCACTGAGCATAAAGCCTACTTTAAAAACAACAACAACAACAAAAACCCCCAAAGCTACACCAAAAACATCATAATCAAACTGATTAAGATCAATGATAAAAAAAAAAATCATAAAGGAAGCCAGAGGAAAAAAGGCACATTATGTAGAGAGAAACAAAGATAAGAATGACAGTAATTTTCTCATTGGAAAGAAAGTAAGCTGAAAGTCAGTGGAACAACATCTTTAAAATAACAAAGGAAAAAAAATTGTCAACCTAAAATTCCTTACTCAGTGAAATATCTTTAGAAAAAAAAAGGGAAAATAAAATTTTTTCAGATGTACAAAACTGTATAGAGCTGCACTACAAGAAGTGGTAAAGAACATCTTTTTTGTAGAATTATATCATACAGAAACTTAGATTTACACACAAGAATAAAGAGCACTGAAACTGGTAACCGCATGGGAAAATATAAAAAAATATTTTTCTTATTAGTTAAATCTCCTTAAAGATAATTAACTATTAAAGCAAAAATAATAACAATGTGTTGTGCAGTTTATAATTTAACATATGTAGAAGTAAAATGTATGACAACAATAGCACAAAGGCCTAGATAAGAAATGGAGATATATTGCAGTACATTTCTTATAGTATATGCAAAGTGGAATAATATTATTTGAATGTAGACTATGATAGTTAAAACAGTCACTAAAATAATATAACAAAGTTATAGCTAATAAGATCAAAAAGGAGGCAAAATGAAATCATAAATAATTCAATTAATTAAAAGAAAACAGAAAAAGAACAAAAGGGGAAGAAAGGACAGGAAAAAAAGAAAACAGATAGCAAGATGGTCCCTTTAAACCTAACCATATCAATTATCACAATAAATGTAAACATTCTAAAACTCTAACTAAAAGGCAGAGATGGTCAGATTAGATAAACAACAACAACAAGAAGAACAACAACAAGACCTAACTACATGCTTCCAATAAGAAAGGCAGTTTCAATATAAAGCCAGGGGCGCCTGGGTGGCTCAGTGGGTAAAGCATCCGACTTCAGCTCAGGTCATGATCTTATGGCTTGTGAGTTTAAGCCTGGTGTCAGGCTCTATGCTGACAGCTTAGAGCCTGGAGCCTGCTTTGGATTCTGTGTCTCCCTTTCTCTCTCTGACCCTTCCCCACTCATGCTCTGTCTCTCTCTCAAAAATAAATAAACATTAAAAAAATTTTAAGTATAAAGACACAGATACATGAAAAGAATGGAGAAAGATACCATTTTAACTCTAGTTAACTAGAGTTGCTACATCAATTATGAACATAATTCGAATAAAGTAGATTTCAAAGCAAAGAGTATTACCAGGAATAAAGAGAATCATTTCATAATGCAGAAGTCAAATTATCATGAGAACATAACAATCCTAAACATTCCACTCCTAGATCTTTACCTAAAAGGAATGAAAGCTGCCCACACAAAGACTTGTACAAGAATATTCATGTTGTATATGAAATAGTCTCAAACTGGAATCAACCCAAATGTCCATCAATAGATGAATGGATAAACAAATTGTGGAATATCTACTTATATACTAAAATACTAATCGGCATTAAAAATGTGTTAATTGTTGATGCACATGACAACATGGATACATTTAAAAATTATTACGCTGAGTGAAAGAAGCCACACCAAAAAGTGTACACACTGTATGATTCTATGTATATAAAATATGGAAAATGCAGTCTGATCTATGGTGACAGCAAGCAGATCAGTGATTGTATAGATCTAGGGGTGGGTGGCTAGGGAGGGTGGGAGAAAGAGACTATAAAGAAACTTCTGGGGATGATGGGTGTCTTCATTATATTGACGTGGTACTGGTTTTATAGATGTATACATATGCAAAAACTTACTAATTATACACTTGAAACATGTGCAATTGATTTTATGCCAATTATACCTCACCAAAGCTGTTTTAAAACATTATTACAGCCTTTTACAAAGATCTTTGGGTTACTAGGACTGTGACTGGATCTTGAGCCACTGTTCTAGTCTATGAGGTGTACTGTTCATTCCGGTCATGGAAATGCCGGGGAGCAGAATGACCGAGAGGCACATAGTCCTACTAATGTTTTCCTCCTCAAGCTACCTTATATGAAATACCCCTAACCCACAGTCATCTAAGTACATCCCTCAAGGGCCATCAGTAGTCAAAGACTAACACCCTCTTCCGGATTACATAGGTTCTGTCTAGGTGCCATGTCATAAACCCTTTTGCTTGAGTGTTCTTAGGCAGACCTGACTTATTCCACCTTTTGTCTTAGTCTCTGTATTACTTCTTGCCTTCCAGTTGGGCATAGTGGAAAGAACACCAACCTAGAGGCAGAGGACTAGGTTTCTCGCTCTGGGTTTGTGTTAATGGGTGTGTGACCTTGCACAAGTGGGCTTACTCCCCACATCCAACCTCAGATTTTCATCTGTTGAAAGAGGGACTTGTATTAAAATGGGTGTTTACCAAAAGTCTTGAAGGACGTGAAAAATGTTTGTGAGTATAATGGTAAGTGAAAAACAAAGCTCGTTCCAAAATTATATATATAGTCTGATTCCAATTCTGTAAAAAATTATAGAAAAAAATACATGTGTGTGTATGCGTGTATGTAATTGCACTGGTAAGTTATGGATGGTTTTGTTGTTTCCTTCTTTTTTTTGTATTCTTCAATTTTTTTTTTTTTTTTTACAATATGAATGTGTTACTTTTATAAATGGGAAAAACTAAGAAAAAAATTGAAGGACAATATTCTGAGTTGCTGAAACATCTTAGGAGCCTGAGGGACTAAATTAAAACCAGGAGACTAAAGTTCACGTTGTTTATCCCATTTTGTCCTGGCCATTCATGGAAAGGTGCATTCAGGCCTTCCTAGCTGACGTCCTGACAATGACAGATTGCTCAAGGTTCTGAGTCCATATCTGGACTCAGTGAAAGCCCCTCTCTGCTGTGTTTACAGACCCAACCATTAATCCACCTGGCTCTGGAAATGAATAACTTGAAGTGGGCTGTTCGAGATCCAAGCTTGGATATTGCTCTGATAAGCCTAAATAGGCCATATCAAATCAGAATTTAGTTTCCTCTGGCTTCTGCCTGGGCAACAGGAAAAGGCTGGGATTTTCAACAGATGGCCTGATCTAAGGTGATGCCAGAACTTGGCTCTTCCTTACTGGCAGAGGCTTCTCTCTGTGGTATCTGTCTGTCCCTACATTCCTGTTTCTCGTGAACAGGGGCATCTAATTAAGACATCCACACAAAGTAGCCCCATAGGAAACAGATTTTCTACTTTAAATCTCAAGTCACTAAAAAAGATGAAAAGATGCTATATACCTCCTTGGGCAAGCAGTCAGATCATTACCGTTTCATTATTTGACCACAGGAAACTGATACTCTCCATAAACAAGGAAAGTGGTACATCATAAATCACTTCTCCAGGCGTGAATGTCTGGAAGTTGCTCTCAGACCCAGAATGATACGAATGTTGCAAATAAACATGGTGGTCAAATAAGACAGCCAAGTTCCATTGTTACCACCTTTTCTCAAATATCATATAATGACAGTAGCTCTAATATATCCTTCCTTGGGGCCTCAGAAACCTCAGCCACTAAAACAAATCCCGCCCAGACAATTTGGAACCTCAGAAAATGAAGTATAGCTTCTCTCAGGTTCATCTTGAAGTTCCAGATACTCAGACTAAGAAAGCCTCTGGGTAAAGAGTTTGGGTCCAAACGCTTTTCATGGTTGTTTTTGCTGCTCAGAGTTTAGAATCCCAAGGTTTCCCCCTTCTTCTCCCATCATGAGAATAAGCTATGTCATAACACGCCCCTGCTATTCCACATAAGATTTAAGACTTATTTATAACTTAAACCCATTTTACCAAGGGGCCATGAACCTAGCATGGCTGGGTGAGATGCTGGGGAGGGAGGGTGGGTGAGCCATACTTTGCAGAGTCTTGCCCTGATGCTGCCCCTGAAGGCCTCAGGAAGGCACCGACGCTTGTCATCCTTGCTTTGTGCAGTTCTGGGAAGACTGGAATTTGCTGAACTTATGGTCCAACGGCAACTCTCCCTTCCCAACCACGTTCTGCTTTTTATCCACAGTAAATTTTTGATCTCACCAGTCCTTCAGTTACACACTGAAAAATCCTTAATCCTTCTAGTTGCCCTTCTTGCCATGACTGGAAAAAAGATTAGAACTACATCTAATTCTCTCAAACTACATTTGAAATTCTCTCATCGTACCAAGTCCCTGGGAAATAAATCAAACTAATTTTAGCCGGCTTCCCCCTGCTCCTCCTCCTGACTTCCTTAAGCCGGTGCACACAAATACCTCCAATTCTCCCATCCAGGCCTTTGTGCTACAGTTATACATTTGATTTCTACATAAGTTATAAACTGCACAACACAATGTCATTTAGTTTTTTTTTTGCTTCAATAGTTAATTACCTTTTACGGAGATTTAACTAAGAAGACACATATTCTTTACATTTACCCATGTGGTTACCAGTTTCTCTTCATTCTCATGTGTAAACCCAGGTTTCCATCTGGAATAACTCTACTAAAAAGATGTTCTTTGCCATTTCTTATAGTGCATCTGGGCACACCCTTACCATCCACTGGTAGAGTCATCTGTACCTCAGCCCTACAGCTGCCTCTTTATATACACACACACACACACACACACACACACACACACTCTCAAACCCTCATCATATACTTTCTCCTGAGAAGGCTCCCCTTCTCCCCCTTCTGGCCAGGCAGACCCATCAGAAGTAAATATTGAATGAGCTTTCCTGTTTCAGGGCTAGTGAAGCATGAACCCGCATCAAGACTCAGAATCCCAGCACAGTTGAGTGGTGGGGGCCCCCAAGATGGAGGCAGACAAGATCTGCTCAAAGGACATACAATGACATGGAGACATGCTGCTGGGTATATCTCTCCCTCCTCCCAAGGATGAGGTATTCCCCACTCCCCCTCAACACTGCAAATCATGTATTACAGAGACTTACCTGTATCAGGGGCACACGCCTCATCTGCTTTGGCACCATTATCCACATTCTGTATGTTGGCATCTGGGGAGTAAAAACAAGATTTAAGGACCAGCCTACGTTCTCCAGCTTCTTACAGAGGCAGGCAGGGGACCTTCCCATGGGGCCTGGATCACTAGACTTGTGTGTCTCTTTGAGTATCAGCTGGGTTCATGCTGATTTGTTGGGGCTGACTGTGTCTCCCTCACTATAGCCCAAACTCCAAGAAGACAGTGACCACAATTTACCTTCCTCTGGTCTCTGACACTCCTGGGTTCTTCCAGCCTGGGTACATGAGCTGAATATGCTCCATCCAAAGGCTTCTTGCAGCCTTTGCAGAAGACTCTCTACCCCCTGCCACACGTTATTTTATGCCTCCTCTCCCCGCCTCCACCCTCTGTTTTGAGCCTGGGTGCAGGAATTCTGCTCTTCTTTATTCCTCTGAGAGAGCCATCAGACAGCACTTCCTGTGAGACCCCATGGGGAAAGGAGTCCTGGTCCCCTGGTTCTCATTTCCACCCCGTAAGGAAGTTACTCTGCACAGGGTACCCCCTAGGAGTTCAGCCTGTGGCTGTGGCAAGTGCATTACAGCTGCAGCATCTCCCTTCCATCTTAGGGAATGTTGGTCTGTGTACCTGGGCCACTGGCCTCATTGCTGGCCCCCTCCGTTGGGTGGTCAGGGGTCTCCTGTCTGGGCTTCTGGCTGAAGGCCAGGAAGAGGTGCGTGCTCAGTGGCTGAGGAAGGTCCACCTCCAGGTATGCCCTCATGAACAGCTTGAAGACATCATAGCTAATTGGCTGAGGAAGAACAAAGAGGGAAAAAGTCAGTGCAGAAAAGCAAAGGGACAGAGAAGAAGGAGAGAAGAGAAACTTGGGGCTGGCGGTGGGGGGGGGGGCACTGGCAGGTGAAAGAAATGAAAAGAAAGCAGAAAGAAGTGCAGTGATGGGTAAATGCTGGAATGAAAAGGTCAGTAGGTGATGGAGGATGATAGGCACAGGGAGCAGGGAACAGGATACAAGAAAGAGAAAACACTGATGGTTGCATGTTGGTGCTCACAGGAGGCTTCTATAACAAGACGTGTCTAAAACTAAGTAGAAAGGGGGTGATGGGGAGCAAGCACTGGGTGTGGAGGGTTCTGCCCCCAAGCCAGACTTGGTCAGTGCCCTGGAATCCTAGTTAAGATGAAGGATGTAGCTGAAAACACGGTAGCAAGATGGGTCTTCTGTGGTATTTCCATTTCTGTTTGTGTTGTGAGGGATGGGATTCCTGAGTATTTGAGTCTCAGAAAACAGGAAAAGACAGGCTCCATCCTTCATTAGTTTCATAACTGACCTTCCCTGGATGAACCTCAAGATTAACAGGAGAGGGTATGTGTCTGGCTCAACTGCTCTCTAAACATGTCCTTGCGAAGGTTTTAGGCACTAGGAGAAGAGCAGGAAGCCAAGGACAGAAGGTAGAATCAAGAAATGTGCCAAAAACTAGAAGCTCTCCCTGCTGTATCTCTCCCACTACTGCCTGGCTTATGGTCCCAGGCTGGAAGCAACCATGCCAGAAAGGGCTGCTGTGCTCAGCAAACACTCAACAAAGACAGTTTGCAGTGAATCATCACCGGCTTGTGCCCTGATGGCATCAGATTCTTCATCAAATCGGCAGATGCTCCTGGAAATCACTGAGGAAGCTCTACTCTAAGATCTGCTGTGCAGGCTTTTGTAAATAACAACAGCCATGAGAATAAAATCCCTTTCTGGGAGCCTATTTGGTTCTCCTTTCAAAATGTTGATAGCATTTAACCCCTTGTCTCTTCTAGAAAATCTGAGAGCCTTCCCAGAACTACGAGCCAGCTTGAATATACACAATTAGGTTTGGGATACAAAGTTTTGGCCCTAAAAACAGGGGATGCTCTCCTGGTCCCAATGGGAGGGAGCTCACACAGCAGTTTCTACTTGTCCCAGGTGGGGCTGTTCTACACATCTTCTTTACAGAGTGGAGGAAGCCTGATTTGGCCGGACAGAGGAAAACGCAGGCTCTTAGTAAGTTAAGGGATCTCAAACCAAATGGTGAACTCACATTTCTTGTGACAACTACCAATTAGTCTCTATCTCTCTGTCTTTTCTGCCCCTGAGTCTCTGGGTCTCTCTTTTATACTTTTTTGGTCCCTCTCTGTCTCCACAGCATCACCTCAGAATGTCTCTTCCTCACACATCCTCCTCTTTTTTACCAGTCTGTGACAGCAAAATCTTTTCCTCCTACTTTCCAAGTGGAGCCCACCCACTATGACCCTTGATTCCAGCCTCCCTGCATCTGAAGGCATCTCCCAGCATCTGCTTCTCTACCTGCAAGCATGTTCAAGGGCACTGCTCCAAAGAAATGGTTGGTTTCTCGAGTTACTATCCTGTCCTTCTTCCCTTCCCCTTCAACATTCTCCAGCCAGACCACATTAGCCTCGTCACCTCCTTAGTCCCATTTGCTCTGGGCTCTAGCCCATCACCTCTGAACCCACTCTCTTGAAGGTCATAGGTTCAGTTGTCTCTTTTCAGACTTGCTCATCTTCGGCTTCTCTGTAGCATTCCATCCTCTCTTCTTAAAACTTTCTGTTTTCTGTGGTGTTGTGCTATTTTGGTTCTCCTCATTCTCTGCTTTGATTTGACTATTTGCTGATGTTACTGTCCTTATTTTAAAAGGCTCTTTTTGCACTGTCTTTTCCTTCATACTATTTTAATTGACAAGTACTGTTTCCAACATCCAGTTGACCCTTGAGCAACACAGGTTTGAACTGTGCAAGCCCACTTACATGCAGAATTTTTTCAATAAATACAGAATACTGTAAATGTGTTTTCTCTTCCTTATGATTTCCTTAATGACATCTTCCACTCTTTAGCTTCCTTTATTGTACAATATAATACACTATATGCAATACAAATAACATAGAAAATGTGTGTTAATCAATGTTTATGTTAAAAGTAGGGCTTCCAGTCAACAGGAGGCTATTTATAGTTAAGCTTTCAGGGAGTCAAAAGTTATACGTGGATTTTCAACTGTGTGTGGGGGTCAGTGACCCTAACCCCCACATTACTCAAGGGTTAACTGTAGTTTTGAGCTCCAAAGTATCCTGTTAATCTTTTTTGGTTAGCATCAAACTGAGAATTATCAACATAAAATATTTCTGGAAAACAGACTATCCTAAATGATTTTTAAAAAGAGAAAGTTTAAACAAAGTCTAACATAATGCTCTTAAAAAACCAAAGCTGAAAAGTCATCAAACAAGATCAGAGTGGGATTTAGGAGACTTCGTGACTGGTCTCAGCTCTACCACATTTCCTCTGCTTTGTGAACCTCAGTTTCTTTGACAGCAAAATGTGAGGGATGTACTAAAAGGTCTCAAGTTCTAAACTTTTATTATATTCCTCTCTGAACCAGCTCCTCTTCCTAACCCTGCTGTTTGTTAATGTCAACAATACCATCATTCTCCCGATATTCCAGGCTTAGCTTTGAACCCCCAGTCATCTGAGATTAGGTCTTGTCCCTTACTTCTGTTCACGGTTCTTCTGTAACATCGGTCACATTCGGTCTTTTCTGTGTGTCCACTGCCCATCTGCCACCACTCTGACAAGAAGGCCATTGAAGGCCCAATGTTCCTGGTTTCAGACTTCTGTTTCCTGCATCCTGCCTGGACCACTGTAATACTTCTGGAAGGCTTCCTTGCCTCCACCCCATCTGTCAGTCCTCTCATCTTATCCATCCTTGCCAAACTGATCTTACCAAAGCACAGTTCTGATCATATTGCTTCTCTATTCAAAAACTTTCCATGGCTTCTTATCACCACAGGAGAGGTTAGATCAGTTTTAAAATCATGTGCCCTTCTATAACATTTAAACATGCATTCTCATTTATCTTTACTTATAAATTATATACACGTACTATTGTGTTCCTCTAATACATTATAAAACATACACAAAAGAAGAAATTAGAAAATAGAAGTTAGATGAAATAAAAATCAATGCAAATAGAAAATATAATTTGTAGTGTTCCCACATTCCAGTGGATCATCCTGTATACTCCTTGAGTCCTCTGGGATTCACAGCCCTCCCATAATTCCACTCCAACCTAGATATGTAGCTACTTTAAGTACTGAGACCATTCTGGTATGTTCTCCTATAATTCCCTACGTGTACCTCCACATTCTGTCCACACTGATCTCCATGTTCTTGCCTGATCAAGCATCCATGCATAACACATAAACTGCTTCTTTCTCTACCCTTTAAGAGGTTAACATTCTAGCTACCCTTTAAGGTCCTGCCCACATGTCACCTCCTCTAGGAAGCCTAGTATGATCTCCTATACCTGAATTTCTGTACTTTTCCACTTAGGTTCCTATCCTATCACACTTATATCTGCTGCCCTCTATTAATATACAGTTGTTTGTGACATACATATCCTTAGTCCCTCAACTAGATCTGGAGCTCTAGGAAGGTAGTAAAATATCTTATTTCATCTAAGTATCTGCCACACCATCTACAATAGTGTTGCCTGAGAGGTATTTTAGTGGATGTTGGGTTTCTCATTGGTACACTTGGCTGTCACCAATTACTGTGGGTTCTATTCAGTAAATATATATATATATATATATATATATATATATATATATATATATATATATATGCCTTTTAGATACAAGAAACACCTTGGGGAACACACCGAAGAAATACACATGGGTCCATACCTTCAAAGAGACTACGGTATTAAAATAATTCTAGTACAGAATCAATAGTGGTGAGTGCCATAGGAAAAGAACAAACTGTTATGAGAACTTAGAAAACAATGATTGAACACATGTCCAACCATTCATGATCATATTCTGGGCAACAGGATGGCACAGAATAAGCCTAGAAACAAAGGTCATTCATACCAGAACAGCCTAGATGTCCTCATGTCACTGAGGCTCTGAAAGTTCAGGGACTTGCCCCAGCCACCTAGCAGTAAAGGAAAACCAGAAGCCCAATCTTCTGACTCCCAGTCTAGAGCTCCTGTTACCATATCTGTTCTGGGTCCCAGTGTTCACATACGGCTCCCTGCCACCCTCTCCGGGAACCTCAAGTACAGTAGGCAAAGAAATGTGACTGTGTGCCACTCTTAAAGTTATATCTGGGTTATGAGTAAGTTCTTTATGAGCATAAGCCAGGCTCGTAGTTGCTAGTGAATGTGTGATAGGTAGAAAGTGGTGTTCTATGTCAAAACCAGATAAACAAACACTATGAGGCAGGTTAGCAATTCTCTGAGCTCTGGAATAACATGCTAGGCACTGTCATGGCACAGGCCTGGGTTTTTTCCCCCCAGAAACTGCAACTTTCATGTAGGAGATAGCTGGACAATTGCTGTTTCTGTAATCCATTTAAAGTGTTAATTCCTATACAGGTTAAGAAGGGAGGGGAACTAGATGGACAGCTTACTCTGCATTGGGCAGTTTACGTACATGATCTCAAGTCTTAAAATAACAGTATGAGGTGGGACTATTACTGCCATTTTGTGGATGAAAAAAATTCTGATAAATAACTTGTTCAAACTCATAAAGCAAGTGATAGAGCTGGGTTTTGTGCTTAGATGTGTCTTGAGTCTAAGATCATAGGGCCACCAAGCCACCTTGCCCCTTCTGTTCCACTGTTCTTGTCCACTTTCTGGCTGTCTTCTGCTATACTCAGTTCTCCAGAGAATCACTCAGTGCTGATGGGCAAGGGCATGGCCAGATGCAGTGCTCCACTCTGCAAACTTTTTTTTAAAAAAATGTTTATTTGAGAGAGAGAGAGCAGAGGAGGGGCAGAGAAAGAGGGAGGGAAAGAATCCCAAGCAGCCTCTGTGCTGACTTGGGGCTCAATCCCACAAACCGTGAGATCATGACCTGAGCCGAAATCAAGAGTACGATGCTTAACCGATTGAGCCAGCCAGGTGCCCCCAACCCCCAACTCTGCAAACTTTTATGCCTCGCCTTGCTTTCCTAGCCACCTGCCCCTTCCCACAACTAACTCATTCCTCCTTGAGACATGTTGGCAGCAGTAGGCCATCAAGCTCAAGAGAAATTAAATTCTTTTTGTTTCCCCAACCCCGTGCCGGGACATTACACCTACTAGAAACCAGCCGTACTGTGAGGGAGAATAAAATCAGAATGACAGAACTTCCCTGGGACACAGCAGTGCCCGGCATACAAAGAGTGGGGACCAGCATGATGGAAGCGGGGGTGGCAGCAGACTCCTAACAGCCAAACCGCTCTCTGCTTCTGAAAGCTCCCTGTGGCCTTCACACCCTCTGTGGCCCTGACCAAATTGTTCCCCTCCCACTCTTCAGCCACGTGGCTGATGGGCTGATTAGCAGCCCCCACCCTTCTTTGTTCCTGTGTTTTGGAGCTGGGGGCTGGGGAGGCGGGTGGGAGGGGCAAGGAGTTTTTTGCTGGCTCCACCATCTTCTCCTCAGGAATGTTCTTTGAAAGGGCTCATTCTCAGTCTAGCCCCTGTGCTGGCAACCTTCTTCCTGCTTCATTCTCCTAATGATTGGTGCATTTTATCCAAAGCCCCTGCTCTGGTGTACTTTGAGGACATGTACTTTGTTGATTCACTGCCAGTGCCCAGCAGAGAAGGGGTTGACTCAAGGTTTGTTGAAAGGATGACAATACAAGTAAGTGGCCAGCATCATCCCAAGTTTGTCCTGCTGATCAGTCATTTTTCTGCAATTAGCCTTCATAAAAGGACCCAGGAGCAGGGAAAAGGAAGTTGAGTTTAAAACATTCTGGGGAAAGGAGCCAGAAAGGAAATAATAGTAAGTACCCTTTTTTAAGTGTCCCATAAAGTATTAGATATTTCGCAAAAATTATCTCATTCAATCCACTCTTCTGTAAACTTCAACATTGTTTGGTTGTTGTTATCTTCAGGTCACAGAAAAGGAAACTAAGGTTCAGAAACGTGAAATATTATTTCAGGCCACATTACTGGTTGGCAGCAAAGGTAGAAGTCTAACTTAAGACCATGTAACTCCAGGGTCATGGCTCTTAGACTTGAGCCTGCCAATAGGAAGTAAGTTCTGGAGGGCAGTAATCATGCTTTCTCATCTTTGTATCTTCTATAGTGCCCAACACAGTGCCTGGATGCTCAAGAAACATTAGATGAGTTGAATTTGAAAGTTGGGGATGTCTTCCATTCATTTGCTCATTCAACAAATATTTCTTCAGTGCCTGCTATGAGCCAGATATTCTTCTGGGCACTGGGGATACTGAAATGAACAAAAGTGCTCTAATGGGAGAAACAGACAATTAAAAAGTTATATAGCATGACAGATGGCGAGAAATACTAAGAAAGACAATAACATAGAATGGAAAGATAAGAAAGGAAAGAGGGCTTAAATTTTAAATACAGTAGGTGACATCCATTAAGAAGGTGACTTGAGCAAACGCTTGAAGGAGGTGAGGAAATAACGCGGATAATGAGGGAGAAACATTACAGGAAAAGGCAAAGGCAAATGCAAAAGTACTGAGGTTACAGCAACCTTGGCTTGTTTGACAGCATCAAAGAGGCTAATATGGCTGGAAACCAATGAGGAAGAGAATAGCAAGAGATGAGGTTAGATAGTAATGACCTTGATTTTAACTCTGAGTAGGGGGTAGAGGGACCATGAGGGATTGTAGAGCAGAGCAGTGAGATGATCTGACTTAAGTGCTAACATATTGCTCAGGATGTGTGCAAAGAATAGACTTTAAAGGTCAAGAGCAGAAGCAGGGAGCCTAGTTAGGTGACTATTACAATAATCTGGGCAAAATATGGTGGTGTCTCAGGTAAGTGGTGAGATGTGACTAGATTTTGGATATATTTTGAAGGTAGAAGTTAGGGTTTGCTGATAAACTGGATGTGGGATGTGAGAGGAAAAGTCAATGATGACTCCATAGTTTTAGACTGAAGAACTTGAAGAATGGAGTTATTTGCTGAAATGGGGAAGATTGCCGGCAAAATCAGCTTTACAGGGTAAGATCAACAGGCTCAGTTTAGCTCATGTTATTCTGAGATACCAATTTGATTGTTAAGTGGAAATGTCAAGTCAGAGGAGTAAAGGGAGAACCAGTGTCCTGAAATCCAAGTGAAGAAAGTGGAGGAGGATATGACCAACTGTGTCCAATGCTGTTAGGTAAAAAGACTATTGAGTTTTAGCCACATGGAGATCCTTCGCTATCTTCAGTAGTGGTTTTAGTGGAGAAGTGGGGGTTACACTCTGATTGAAGGGCTCTCAAAAAGTGGGAAGAAGAGAAATTGGAGGCAGTGACTATAGACAAATATCTCCAGTTGGAGAGAGAAATGGAGTCGGAAGAATATTTTTTATATTGGACAAATAACAGTATGTTTATATGTTGATGAGAAAAACCTAATGAATAGTGGAAAGTTGATGTGAACAAGATATATAAACAGAGAAAGCAATGCCTGTCAATAGACCAGAAAAGGATGGGAATTAGTGTACACTTGGAGGAGCTGAACTTAACTAGGAGCATGGAGAGTTCATCTGTAGTTTCAGGAAAAAAGATACAGACGTAGGTGAGGGTCTCATGGAAGATCTCTTCTGATTGTTTCTATTTTCTCAGTGAAGGAGAAAGCATGGTTGATAACTGACAATGAAGACAGGAAAGTGGAAAGATTTGAAGAGAGAGGAGAAAGTATGAGGTAGTCTTCTAGGACAATGAGAGGGTTATTAAACTTGGGAAACATATAATTCCAGGGAGCACCAATACCTCACTTAAGATTTAAGATAAAACATGTTGAGAAGCAAGTTCTTCAAGATGAGCTAAACTTCTAAGAGGGGAACAAATTATGGAAAGGCTGGAAAATAGAGCTAAAGGCTTGAAATGCAAACATTCTTACCTCATGTGGATCATATTGTTTGAGGCTCCCACCCTCATTAAACTCAGCCAAGACATCCTTTATCTTCTTGGAAGTATCTGGAGAGACATAATCCACATGTGAAATATTGGGAGCTGGGCCAAGTAAATTCTCTCTGTCTAACCTTGGTTATGATGGAGTAATCCCTCATTCCCAGGACTATTCGGAAAAATGTCACCCTTATCTGTCTTTCTGCCCTCTTTTTTTTCAGTATAGTCTCTCTCCTGCTGTATGAATTATCTTTCTAAAACACAAATGTGATCAGATCATGTTCCTGTTCAACATACTTCAGTGACTCTCAATTTTCCCAGGATTAAGCTTAACTCCCTTAGCTTGGTATACAAGTATGTAGGGATCTGTCTTAGTCTATTCTTTATCTCTTACTTTAACCTTCCACTCACCCCAATTTTCAAACACAAAACCACATTTCCAGAAATCCTTGAATACACTATGTACTCACTCATTCATTCTTGGAGTCTTTTCTCTATACTGTAAACTTCTTGGTACCCAGCTCAAATGTCAAATCCTCTGTAAAGTCTTCCTTTATCAGTTAGAATTGATTATTCCCTCTCCAGGCTCCCACATGACTTATACATAATTCTGTAATAGTACTTGTCATATACTGTTCTATTATTTATTGACTTGCCTTTCTTATACATCTCCTGCCTCAGTTCTGCCTTGAGAGCTGTATTTGGCTAGTGAGTCTTTCTACATCACACAGTGTATTACACACAACTAGTGTTCAGAAAACCAATATACTAGATGATTGCATAAAATCTGAGCAGAAATTTTAAAACATTTAAAATGTTGTTGATTATAGAGGGTGAGATGGGCATTAAGCCCAGTGATGCTCTGTCCTTGGTGCTGAAACAGAGACTCGGGATTCATGAAGCACGGTGATTTAGAAAATTCTGCTTTCCATAGGAAACAATAAACTCCCAAAGAAAATTTTGGCTTCTTCTTATTCTTTTGGGCTTTATTAGGAAATTGGGAGTCTAGAGAATGGAGTCAATAACTGTCATTATAAACACATTCTGAGTGTATCCTGTGTAGTTACCAGAAGTCAAGACATCAGAGAAACTAGGGTCTCTGTGCTCTCCTCGTCTTGCAGTATTGTGGATAATGAAGAGCTTCCCAAGCTCCATTACTGCCACAATTTGAACATATGAGCAAAGGCCAATGTCATTAAAAACTGACATAATGTTCCGCGGTGTTCAGACTCTATGTACAGAGGGCTACACTCTCATAGGCCTATGTAAAGTAGATATGCTCATGCGCTGGGCTGTTCTCCATGGCTCTGCTGACTTGGATTCAATCAAGCACAAGTTATAATCATTTCAGGACTGAGAAATACTGAAATGCCACAGGAAAATGTTGATGCTGCCTAAAAATGGACATTTCTTCCTGAAATTCAAAACAGATGTTGAAAAACTAATAGCTCAGTGAGATCCAGGCAGCAGATGTCATCAATTTGGGCTGTTTCCATTCAATTCAGAAAATGCTGTGGAGGGTGAGATGTTGCAAGGTACTGCTGATGAACTAGCTGGGGAGATGATCTGAATAACTGTGGTAATGATAGCTACTTCTTATTAGAAGCCTTTACTGCACATTCTCATATTCTCCCCTGCCAATCCATGCACATTGGGTTAAATTTTCTTCAGTTTACACATAAAGAAGCTGAAATTCAGAAAAATTAAGTGACTTGCCTAAGAGGGTTTTAATTCAGGTCTAGTTTGGTCCAAAGTCTATATTACTTTCCCTTAAGCACTATTTACTATTACTCCCCAAACACTTGCTAACACAAGGAAACGTGTAATTAATGATGTAGCAGTAATACGAAGCTCTAGGAAGCAGAGAGAAGAGAAGTAGAATGAGCAGGAAAAAAGCAAAATTAGGATAACAGTAAGTTTGGGTGGGGACCAGGGATGTCCCATACAGAAGGCAGCATCTAATCTGTGGTTTAAAGAATGAGTGAGGTTTTGAAAGGCAGACATGAAATGAAAAGGATATTTTAAGAAGGGACAGAGTGAACAAAGATGCAGAGATGGGCATCACAAGACATGCAGGAAAAGTCAGAACCAGAGAGTAGTTTGGGGCCAGATTTGTGGGAGTCTTGAGTGCCAAGCTGAAGACATTGATTTGAAATTGTTGAAGATTTTCTGAATAGTGGAGTAACATAACCAAGTCTCTGTTTTCCTAAAGGCCACTCTGGCAACAGAATGGAAGAGAGCTTAGAGTTAAGCCAGAGCTCAGTTAACATTACCCATAAATTATATTCAAACATCCTATGGGCAGCTCAATTATTTAGAAAATACTACATTTTAGAATCTATTTTAATGGTAGATTTTCAGGTCAGCTAGAGTGGCCAAATCTGGGTTGCACTTCAAAGTGCAAATTGGGAAGCGTGGGTACCTCTGGTGTGGCTTATGCAAGAGTAGTATAGAGCCAGCATTTTGATTGAGAATCAGGGGGATGATTTCACTTGAATGTATACTCTTGCTATTATTGTCACATTTTGGAGATTCCACAGTTCACCCTAACAGAAATCCTTTGGTTCTAAAGTGCTATGGATCTATTTAGCAAACCCTGATTTATATTTAAATGAATGATATACACACACATATATGTATATATACATGTATTTTCATCATATGTTCACATTCAAATAGACAGGTTTTGAAAAGAAAAACAGAGAAAGCATTTATTTTAAAATCTCTGATTAATAGCCTAAAATTAAATAGAAAAAAACAATCCAAGAGATTACTGGTTCTTAGATTTCCATGACAAGTGTTCTTTACCACACATTTACTTCAATTTTTCCATGGGCTTTAATGAGCTCATAGTGTCAACACCTGTCCTGTTTTAAAAAGGGACACAATCTAATTCTCAAAGTTGAGACCCATTACTTTCTCCTGGGATGTCCTTTGATATTTTATTAGTCTTATTCTCTACAGGTTTCTGGGTTGGGTTTCTATTTGCCTGAGGACCAAAAGGCTACTGCTCCATTCTGTTTCATCTTAAGACAGCTAAGAACAATGACAGACCTCTTCAGAGCATTCCTTGATCTTACTTTAGGCACCATCTGTGGGTCCAACTGCACAGCCTCAGGAGAGAGTTCCCTGTCAAAGCCTGTATGGTGACACTACCACCTGACTCAGAGGAGATCCAGTTCTGTTCCTAGTGTCTTTAATAGGGCCATGTCCACAATTCTTTGCAAGAACTCCTATTTTGTTGAGTGCTGACTGCATGTTAGGCACTGCTGTAGTCATCTTATGTGTTTTATTTAAATCTCCACAACTATCCTCGAACGTAGTAATGGTCCTTATTTTAGAGAAGAAAAAACTGAGTCTTAAAAAATTTAAAAGATTCTTTGAAGGGCACACAGCTAGTGAGTGAGTGACTCTGATATTTAGCATATCTGATAATGTGACACAGCTATTAGATTCACTGGCTACATGAACACTGGTAAATCAGAAGATAAGGCCCTCCATGACAATGATTATCAAACCTGGCTACATGTCAGAATCACCTGAGGAGCCCTATATACATTGAAACACAGGCCTCACCTCAAACCAATTAAGTCAGTATCTCTTTGGAAACTGAGGAATCAATACATTTTAAAGCTTCCTGGGGGTTCAAATGTACAGTCAAGGTTAAGAACTACTGTTCCATGAACGTAATTCTATTGTTAGAAATGAAGATTACCTTAAGAAGCAGCTAAACTCATTGGATAATTATTGCAAAAGGAAAAAAGTTTGTAACTCTGCTAAATCTGAAATCACCACACTTGGCAGACATTCTCCATTGTTCAAGTGGACAATGCTAAAGAACTTTACCCAACAGGTCAAGTTCTTCAGCTTCATGGCAAGGTAGGGATACCTTTTGCATTAACCCACACTGGCAGAACCATCAGCATGCAGTTTTACCCCAAGTCAGGGGTTAAGAAAGCTCTTTTCTGTGATCAAGGTCGTTAGTAGTAACAACTACCCTAAAAAGTTTCAATCCAAAATTGTCTCTTCATGCTTTATGTGCCAGAAGTTCTGGGACCATAACCAAACACTTGTTCCTAGTGTTTGAGCACATTCGAAGTCTTTTTAAGGAGAAAATTTGGCCCAACTCACAGGCACCTTCACTGCCACATTTGTGTGGGAGAGGGATGCCCTCCAACAGAACAAGCAGACAAATTAGGAGCTTTAGTGTTTACAGCAGGACGTCAGCTGTGCTGCCTGAACCAGAACCCAAAGTTTATGGACCATCTTCTCTTTAAGAACACTGAGTATTTGAAAACTAGTCAGGCTATTAAACTTTGAAATAACTATGAATCAACATTTTCAACTGTGAATCTGAAAACCCACAGATGAGAGTGAAATTCTGAGGTGCATAATAACTTTCCATTCCTCCAAGTTCCCTAAGAGCATCTCAGACTGAACATGCATAGGAACTGCCTGGGGATCTGATTCAGTAGGTCTGAGTCAGGGCCCAAAATTATACATTTCAAATAATACTCTAAGTGACACCAATTATGCAGATGCATGGGCCTCACTTTTGAAGAGCAGGCCTTAAGCAACATTCTTGTATATTTGTGGCTAACTGGTCAGGCTTGCCTGTCACAACATAGACAAAAACATGATGCTGAACCTAGAGGAATATATTCCATAGATTCAGAAGACCTACATGACTCAACCCAGGGAAGGAAAGACACAGAGAGGGGAAAAGGGAAAGTTGGCAAATGAAAAGGAAAAAAAAAACCCCAACAACCTAAATTTTCCTTCTTTCGAAGAAGGCAGGGATGTATGAGTAAGTTTTCTAAGTATTTCAAGGCGTCAAGAATACAGTGAGATGAACAAAAGCAAGAGCGGAGTTTCCCAAGTGTTCTGGAAAGACGGAGGATGATGTCAGAACAGATATGTCAGATCCAGGAGCATTGTATCAAAAGGCCCCCATTTTTAGCCAAGAGGAACCAGGCCCCAAAATAGAATGTGAGAAGCATGCGTAAGAAGCCCAGCTTCCTAAACATTGACAATCTCTCAGCTATACTTCTTCTCCTGTGCACTGTTTC